AAAAAAAAAAAGAAAGAAAATAAAGCCTTTTAGTAAATAAGACCTATAAGTTGTTCTCAACTCCACCAGTTTATTTTGTCTAGAAATAAGTAATGTGAGAATAACTTACAAACTGTTTACAAGCAGAGCATTAAACTCCACCAAAAACTTCACTAGGGAACATAACCTTAAAGACAGGAGCAGATATTTAATAACACCCGCTGCATTTCCTGATTAAGTAGAACACTAAAACACACCACCATCAGACAGCCAAGACCTTCACATCTAGAGACAGAGGCAGTCAAAACTTCAACAGCTAAGTAGGAAAGTGGAACCCCCCCAGGAAGCAGGATAACAAACTACAGGGCTTCAGGAAATCCTTTCCACCTCTAAAATTAGTCTTTTCTCTCTGTCCCTAGGAAAGGAAGAGCAGCAATGGCCATGTTGTCACTCTGGTTTTCAGGCCCACAGCACTCAACCATGCCCAGCTGAGTCACAGAACCAGAACTTGAGAAGGGACTGGCTTCAAGTTCATATCTCACAGTAGCTCACGCTGCCTGAAAATGTTCTCTCACTTTCATTAGGAGTCTTCTCTTCCTGCAGAACTGGGGTGCTTTTATCTCCCACTGGACAGAGAGTCCTCACCCTCTCACCCTGGGCAAGAGAACCATCATTGCCACAGAGTGTCCTATGTTTTCGAGTATCAGTTTAGCATTTTAAATATATACATATGTGTGTGTATGTACACACGCACGCACACACACACACACACACACACATCCAGATTACAAGTATACAATATTTTTTACCTATGAATATGAAAAGGAAGACCAAAAGCAAATATAGAAAAACTTTACATGGAGTTATCATGCTTTTATACTTAATCATTTGTAAAGATTTCATTTTACCAAAGCTTACACTCTGTCACAGCTATTTCCCATGTATTGTCTGTAGTCACTAAAAAGAAAAATGGACCAGTCCTCTCTAGTTCTAACCATTCCCATCATCTACAATTCTAAGCAAAAGATGGCCCTTTCATTGCATGTGTAGCAGCAAAGGAAATCATCTACTTTCCTAAACCTCAGCAAAATATTCCAAAACACTTTGTGGTTGGCAGAATACATAACCTCCAAAGATGTCCACATCCTAATCCATGGAACCTGTGACTGTGTTACCTGCAAAGGGGACTTTGCAAAGTCTTACTAAAGACCTTGAGATGGGGAAATTATCCTCAATTATCCAAGTAGATCTGATATAATCATATCAGTCCTTAAAAGCAGAGAACTTTTCCCAGCTGTGGTCACAGACGAGACTACAGAAGAATGATCAGAGAAATGCAACACTGGTGGCTTTGAAGATGGAGAAAAAGGGCCCCAAGCCAAGGAGAGTGGCAGCCTCAGGAAGAGGCAAGGAAATAGATGCTCCCCTAGAAACCTCCGGCAAGGAACACAGCCTTGCTGACACACTGATTTTAGCCCGGTGAAAAACATTTCGGACTTCTCACCTACAGAACTACAAAATAATAAATGTGTGTTGTTTTAAGGCACTAAATTTGTCATTTGTTACAGCAGTCATAGAAAACCAATCCACACATACTAAACAATTTCTCACAATATGTGAAATTATCTAGAGGAGAAAAGCATCAATGTGGGCAATCAAATTGCCCACATATTTAGAGCAATATAAGAAAAAGTTATTTGTACACGTTGCTGTACATTTCATTTCTATTTCTCTCCTGTCCTCACAAAATTCCATTCGTTAAAAAGCCAGCCAAAGTGACAATTCTTCAAACTTTCTGTAGAATGAGCCATCTTAATCAAAAAAAGGGAACACTCAGAGGCCCAGTACAGTGGCTCACACCTGTAATCCCAGCTCTTTGGGAGGCCGAGACAAAAGGATCACTTGAGGCCAGGAGTTTGAGACCAGCCTCGGCAACAGTTTAGTGAGACCTCATCTCTACAAAAAAACTTTTTAAAAATTAGCTGGATACGGTGGCATGCACCTGTAGTTCCAGCTGTTCAGGAGGCTGAGGCAGGAGGATCACTTATGCCCAA